AGGCACTGAGAACAGGTGTGTGAGGTTTGGAGCCAGGTAAATCCTAGAGCTGGGGAGGGACAACTTAGCAGAAGTGTCCTTTTCAGAAGTGATAGAGGAAGATAGAAATGACAGCCCTGAGCATGTGTCCCTTTTCGTTCATGCTGCATGACCTGGTACGCTCAGGGAATGCTCATGCTGACCTTTGCCACTTGTGTGACATTAGCTCTGAAGTGGTAGGACAGTAGGAATCATACCTGTGAAGGACACGAGTGATGACAAGTTAGAATTGATGCAGACATCATCAAGTCCAAGGGAGTTTTTAAAACCGTTAGTGCAGGGCAGCCCAGGTGGCTCAGGGGTTTAGAGCCGCCTTCAGCCCAGGGCGTGACCTGGGATCGAGTCCCACGTCAGGCTCCCTGCATGGAGCCTGCTTCTCCCTCTGCCTGTCTCTCTCTCTCTCTCTCTCTCTCTCTCTATCTCTCATGAATAAATAAAAAAAATCTTTAATAAAATAAAAACGTTAGTGCAATTCTTCAAACAATACAGTATAGATGGGGCACCTGGCTGGCTCAGTGGTTGAGAGTCTGCCTTTGGCTCAGGGCGTGATCCCGGGGTCCTGGGATCAGACTCCCCTGCATGGAGCCTGCTTGTGTCTGCCTCTCTCTCTGTGTCTCTCATGAATAAATACATAAAATCTTTTTTAAAACACAGTAAAGACAAGGTGAATATGTAAAACAGACAATAGTGCAGAGGCACTGGGTGAAGTGGGTAGAGCCTTAGAGCCCCACCCCCTGCTCCCCACTCCCTTGTGGTATAGTCAGGGAATCTCTAGAGTCATCGATGGAACACGGTTGAAAAACCACCATGAGAACTACCTCCGTTTTGCAGAAGAGACACCACGGGCCAGTGAGGTGAGATGCTGCTGGGCCTCGGCCGGGCTCATACAGCCGGTCACACACTGCCGGCCACTGGCAGAACTGGGCACCTGCTTCTAAGCCAAGGTCACTTTCCAGCACAGCCAGAGCCTTTTTTTTTTTTTTTTAATATTTTTTTAAATTTTTATTTATTTATGATAGTCACAGAGAGAGAGAGAGAGAGAGGCAGAGACACAGGCAGAGGGAGAAGCAGGCTCCATGCACCGGGAGCCCGATGTGGGATTCGATCCCGGGTCTCCAGGATCGCGCCCTGGGCCAAAGGCAGGCGCCAAACCGCAGAGCCTCTTTCAAAGGAAGCTGCTTTGTTATTTCCAAGTCCTGGACATAAGGAAGCTGAACTGCCTGCATGTGTCCTGCATGAGGTCTGACCGCTATTCATGGGTGAGACTCATTTTCAAACATGACATCAGCAGCCACTAGGGACAGCTCCTGGGGGTGGGGGTGTGAGGAAAGTATGGCTTGTTTGCATTGTTAACTCACTTAACTTCACAAGGCTTAGTCCCAGTGAATCAGCATATGTCTGCAGTGCAGCCTGAATTAATGAGTGTTTAGCTGTGACATTATACCCATCTCCTTAACCTAAGGACTCAGGGGAACCTTGGTGCCACCACCTCAAAAGCAGTAGGGGTAATGGATAGAAGGGTCCGGGGAGATCCCACCAAGCTGTCGCACTGGAAGAAGTTTGAAGAACACAAGTTTATTACAAAAAGAGGAGCCTGCAGGCACCTTGCAGCTGTGATAAAACAAGCAGTAATGCCACAGCTGTGCTCATGAGGCACTTCACACAGCCAGCTGTGCAGAATTCTATGTAAGCCAGAAAGCGAGACCAAATCCCAGGGTCACTAGAGGCTGAGCCTGGTGCGTGGAGGTGACATGCTAGGCTCTTCCCTTCAGGACAGCTTGGTATTGCCACGTCATCTCTATGAAACAGTGCTCAGGGCCATGGATGAAACTCCCAGACCCAAGCCCTGTGGGAAGAAAGCCTCCCCAGATCTTTCTGGTATGGTGGCCCCAGATGATCTTTCCACACCTGGGCAGGTTATGACCTGAGATTTGGGAAGTAAGGCCAGCATCTCATGGTCCCCCTGGCGTTTGGCGGACACTGAATGTTCCACAAGTGAGACCTGCTGCTAGGCTGAGCTGGGAGCCCACTGGCCACCTTCCGTGGGGGGAAGGGGAAACTGGGCCCAGCGTAGAGGGCCCTGCAGCAGGAACTGGCTGGGCCCTCCCCGTCGGGGGCTCTGGGCTCTGGCGCCGGCATTTGTTCAGAAGGGTTTGGGAGAGGGACCAGAGGCCCCGGGAGAGTATTAAACCCTGGGAGAGCCGGCCTGCCTGCAAGACCAGCCCTGCTGCGAGCTGACACTGGCTGAAGCTGGGCTACCCGGTCTCTGCCAACAGCCTCTGCATCTCCACTGCTCCCGGGCTGGGGAGGACTGAGTCATCAACCTTACCCTCTAGACACCGATCCCAGTTCTCTTATCTCTTCTAAGTCATGGATTGATCGCTTTCCCCTTTTGTTGACTAGGGGGGAGAAAGCCAAGCCTTTAACTCAAAGCAGCCCAGGAAGGGCAGGTCTGCTTGGGCCAAGTGGTTTGAAGGCACACGCCCTGAGACCTGAGACAGGTCCTGAGCGGAAGAGGCTTTACAGAACCCAGCCTGCCACAGACGTTCCATCTTGCCCATCCGTTATTTATGCGGCTGCAGGAGCCTTTCCAGGCCCCTTCCCCTTAGCGGCCCCAGCGAGGGCATTGATCGCCCTAATGGCAAGGCTCTGCAGTGGCGGGCCTGGGCTGCCCCCACCCCAAGCCTTCCTGTGGCTGCTAATTAGCTGAAGTCCAGAGACTCCATTTCACAAATGGGGAACTGGGGCCCAGGGGGCCCTGCTGGGAAGCAAGAAGGGGCTAAGCTTAGCATCATGACCCTCACCCCAAACGGCAGGTGGGCTCTTAGTTATTTCCTGAACCCCAGGGGAGGAGGACTCTTTGTAAGGTGGCCGCTCCAGAATTCCTATAAAAGAAGGGAACAGAGGTGACAATCTCCCCTTAAGGAGGCTGGAGGACTTGACCTGAAGCTGTATCTGCAGAGCATGTACACTGTTCTCAATTAGACTGAATGGTTTTCAGAGCGGCTGTGGGGACTGCTGATGGTGTATGCGGTTGGGGCTGGGGAGCTAAAGCCTCCCAAGCCTCCCTTGGCTCTACCATTGTGCTTTGAGCTAGGAGCCTTTGCCCCTGACACCTCCCAGCCCTGAAATCGACTGTGGGTACAGGGCCCAGGTCCCCACCACTGTAGGTGAGAGGGGCTAAGAGATATGCCACAGGGTTCAGAGGCTCCCAGTATTTACTAGGGATGTGATCAGGTGTAAGCGACTGGCAAGAAGAGTCTTGGAGGACAAGACCCCGACTCAATACCTAGGACAGCAGCCAGACCCAATGGGGAGGGAGCAGTGGCTGCCTACAGCAGCTAAGGTGGAAGAGAGGGGAGTGGGGGGCATGTGCTATCTGTACCTGTATTTACAAGCAGCCTTCCCACCCCACTCCCTACCAGGGTGCCCTGGTAGAGAGGAGGCTGTGCCTGGTGCTCAGGAACTGCATCTAAGACAGTACAACCCTGGAAGCCCCTCATAAGATCCCCTCCACACTGCCCCAGGCCTCTATTTAGGGGATGCAAGAGAAGTCTAACTTTGGAGGAATGCAAGAAACCCATATCCCACTAAATCCCAGAGAGAAAACTGGCAGAGCCAAGAAAGGTATGTGAAACCAGCTACATAAAACGTGAAACACCCTCCACAGATCCTTTTGTTCTATGGCCTTGTAGAAATATTAAATTATTCATCAAAATAGAACATCAGAACCAACCACTGCCATATCTCTGTGATTTGTGGTCCTAGAAATATCTGAGGCCCTGCTCCAGGACAGACTCATAGTGGGATGGGAAAGAGCATCTAGACACACTCCTAGTTTCCTGGCAGAGTCAACCTTGAGGGAGAGGCTGGATCAGGGTCTGATTTCTCTAGACCATCATAATAGCAAATCTCAGAACTGAGATTGGCTTGAGGTTGGAGACTGTCCAGAAGATGGCCCGTTGCTTCTGCGACCAGCGTGGGGAGCTTCCTGCAAGCTCAGGGCCGTGAGCCATTCCTCCGATTCCTTCTTCCAGTAAGAAGCACACCCTCCTCCAGTACTTTCCAGGCCCATTTATACATAGAAAGTGGCCACTGGCTGACATCTGGGAAGTCCCTTCTGAGTTGGGGACTGGGAAGCTGGCGCTGCAAGCCAGTGCTGGGGCTGCTCTGATCCTCTCCACCGCCCCTTCCAAGAGACCCATCCCTGGGACAGCCCAATCTGTCCCCTCCCTTGCCCCTCGGTCTCTGCTTAGGTCCACCCCAGCTCAGTCCCTCCTTTCAGGCTTCTGTGCCAGAAGCACTGGAGACTCTCTTCCCTCGGCTCAGATTTTTAAAAATTAGTTCAAGGGACAGTTGGAGGGGTTGCCAACGTTGTCCCACCAGGGGTGGGCACAGACCCTTCCCGACCCTTCCTCTCTCTCCTGGCCTGAGTCTTTCAGAAGGGCCATGGTGGAGCTAGCGCAGGGTGTGCTGGTGGGTCATAGGTGAAGCAGGGGAGAGGGGGAGGACACAGGAGCCCCAGCTCCAAGCCCGACCTTGATGTCTGGGGCGAGGCGGGGACAGCGCTTACGGAGATGCCAGTGGGGATCCCAGGAGGGTGTCTTTGGCTGGAGATGGGGCTATTCTTTCCGGGCCAGAGTCTGTCCCAACGTGACCCAGAGGGGTGCCTACCACAGCCATGAATTCTAGTACACCCCCCCCCCCCCGGGCTTAGATGCACTCGCTAGGGAACTGCCCATCGCCCCCAGGCCTGTGGTCCCACCCAGCTCGGCCAGCACTGCGAGGAGAGGGCTGAGATGCACGTCTTCCAGGGAGAGCCAGGAGAGAGCGAAATAGGACGAGGACAAGGTCACAGAGGAAGTCAGAGGCAGGACAGCAATGCAGGGCTCGGCACGGGGGTCCGCGGCCCTGGGCCCCCTCCCCCGGCGGTCCTCCCCCGGCGCGGGAGGCGCACTCACCGCCGCGACCATTTGGCCGACGGCCTCCCGAAGGGCCGCTTCCACAGCACGCCGTAGAGCTGCACTTTGGTGCTGATGTCCAGCGCGTCCGACTCGGCCTGCTCCAGCGACGGCGACGGCGACACCGAGTTGGACTTGGACGTGAACATCCTGCCTCGGCGGGGCCGCCCCGGGCCCGGCCCGCCCACTGCCCGGAGCCGGAAGGATGCGGTGGCCGGGGGCGCCGGGCGCCGTCGGGGCGCGTCCCGTCCGCAGGGGCGCGGGGCTGCGGGGGGCGCGGGGCTGCGGGGGGCGCGGGAACTCGGCGGGGAGGGCGGCTCAGCCTGCAGCCCGCAGCATCTCCCCGGCTCCCCGCGACAGCCCCAATTCTGGTGGCCCCGATTGGCTGGGAGGGGCAGGTGAGCTGGCTGGAGGCCGGCCGCGAGCGCCAATCAGGGCGGGCGCCGGCTCGGAGGGCCGGGCTCCGCGCGCCCGGAAGGTCCCGGCGGGTCGCTCGGCCCGGGATGCGCAGCAGCCTTTCCCCACCACCCCCGCTCGCGCCCCGCCCCCGCTCGCGCCCCCCCCCCCGCGGTCCCCCCCGCAGGCCGGCAGGGCCCACACCGAAACGGAGCTCGTGCGCCTGGGGGTGGCCTTGGAGTCCCTCGTGCAGACACCTGCTCCGTCTGGATGGAGGCGAGCAAGCAGCAAGGGCTTGGAACCCCAGCCCAGCCCTCGCGCGGCTCGCAGGAGCTGCGGGAGCCTTGCTTCTCCCACCTGCGGGGCGGAGCTGCCCGAGCCTCCGCGGGCGGGCGCGGCCAGGTAAGAAGCCTCGGGTAAGTGCCCGGAGCGCCCGCCCGGGGAGCCGGCTGCCTGCCCCCCACCCCCGCCGCTCCGCGCCCCCCGCGGGCTTCCCTCCGCACGGCCGCCGCCCTCCGGGACCACCTTCCTCCTCCCGGCACTTGGCTGGCGCCCGAGGTTTCTGTGCGCGCCCGGCGGGGGCTCCCGGGGCTCCAGGTGGGCCGCTCGCCTCCGGCCCCTGGCGACCCGGGCGCGGAGGCAGGGTTACCCCGCGGGGCCGCCCGCAGCGCTCCGAAGGCCGGGGAGGGAGTTTGCGCAGGAGGACGCCGCCGGCGGGACCCCGCCGCAGTCCGCCCGCCCCGGGCCGAGGAGCCACCTCTGTGCCCTGGAGAAAACCGCTTCCCCGCTCAGGGGCCCGATTCCCTCCTGCGTCAGACGGAGGAGCCGGGCCGGAACAGAAGTTTGCAAACGGGGGGCCTGAGGGCCAAATCGGTTTATAGATACACTTGATTAATTTGCCCAAGTAAAAAACTGAGGCTTAATTAATAGAGGGTAAAATGCGCACGTCTTACTTATCTGACGAAGTTTGTTACCTGGATACGCAGAGGAACCACCACCCAAAGCAAGATGCAGAACATTTCCATCACCCCAGAAAGATCCGAGCCGCGCCTGTCTAGTCAACTGCCATCTGCCACCCCCTCCCAAGCAACTGCTTTCTCTTACCAACATTTGCACACCTTTTAAAAGCTTTTTAAATTCTACTGCCTGAAATGGCGTTCTCCACAGACCCGCAATCCCCTATTGTCCTTTGCTTGGCTTGCTATGCTCATTTATTACCTGCCTGGCTCCTCCCTGTAGGCATTTGAGTGTGTGATCCTCACTAGGTGCTCCCCAAGGCCTTCCCAGTGAGTGTAGCTAAGAAGGGACCTCCTAAAGGGTTCCCACACCCTGCACCTAATGAACTCTGGAGTTCCCAAGCCCGGGCAGCATCCCCTGGTGCTTACTCCGAAGGGGCCTACCTAAATTCCCTCTGCCCCTCCTGACTCACGGCCCCCCGGCAGAAGCAGGTCTAGCCTTAACGCAGGGCCTAGGGCCCAGGTCCACCAGGTGGGAAGAGACAGGACTAGGAAGATGACGGGAGCCCATGGATAGAGTGCAAAGTGGACATTGCACACGCTTTTTTAAATTTTTATTTTATTTTAAAAGATTTTATTTATTTATTCATGAGAGACACACAGAGAGAGAGAGAGGCAGAGACACAGGCAGAGGGAGAAGCAGGCTCCATGCAGGGAGCCAGAAGCGGGACTCGATCCGATCCGGGCCTCCAGGATCACGCCCTGGGCTGAAGGTGGTGCTAAACCGCTGAGCCACTCAGGCTGCCCTGCACACACTTTTTAGGACTCTTTTGGACACATTTTCTGAAGCACAGAAAATTTCCCACTTTAGTTCTGCTTTTCCCAAATGGAAGTTAGAAAACTTGTGTTAGAAGCCTGTGGTGTGGAGTTCATGGGTCAGGGGTACTAAGGCAGGACTTTGAGATGCAGGTGACAAACGTGAAGAAAAAGCCTGCACAGGTATCAGCATCTCCAGGGAAGGTGGTACCAGGCAAAGTGGTACCACTTTGCAGGCCACCTGCAGCTGCAAGGTCACGTCCCCCAGGCGGCAAGCAGGGCCCACAGTGGCTGTAGTGACTGTCCCGGGCAGGGGGGCACCCAGACAGCAGCATCTGTGGCAGCAGCTTGGTCATCAGCTGGCTTCCTCAGCACAGTTTTGGGCAGCATTCCTGGGAGCTTTGCCTCTGGTCAGGCCTAGTTCTGTAGTCATGCCAATATCCTTTTAATATATTAATTCCTTTTATGCTTAATCAGGTCAGGACCAGCTTTGGCTGCTTGTGAAGGACTGGTGCTGAGCTCATGAGCCACAGGAGGGAGAGAGGCAGGATACCTGGAATCATCCTTAAGGAAACCCTTCCCAAGGAGCAGGGCAGAATGAGCCCCGATGGTTCCTGGGAAGGGTTCAGTGTCTTTAATGAAAGAAATAGAGCACAAGTCTCTTTAGTGGTGAAGAGAAACCAATCTTTGCCCATTCCCTCTACACACAGGACACTTGAACAGACCTTAGCCAATGGCGGTTGAGGTCAGGTGGAAGGACCAGAGGCAAACAGCAAGAGTTTGATGGACTGCTAGATACGTAAGTGGCTTCTGCTTCCCTCAGCTAAGCAGCACGGATAATACCAAGTGAGCCTTGGGAGAAGCCGTTTCTGCTTCCATTGTGTTCTCTGTCCTAGCTGGTGGCAGATAGTACTGAGGAAGACTATCTGAAGACCATAATAAGCTGGGGACGATCCAGTGCCCTGCGCCAAGTGTAAGCCGGTACTGCTCAATCTTAACAGGAACTAGGTAAGACCAGTCAAGGGCAGATGCCCAGGGTCTTGAAGGAATGCTTTGCACGCTCAGACCTAGAGCTGATGTTCTAAGGAGATTGTTTACATTCTAGCCATTTCATTTAATTTTTGAAACGGTCTCAGTGAGGTACATATTATTTTTCATTTTCTAAGTGAGTAAATGAAGTTCAAAAAGGTTGTCTACCTAAGGTTACTCTCCTAGTCATTTCTGGAGCATGCTAGGCCCTTCTCGGTTATGTGTAGAATGAGAGAAGTGACAGGACCAAGATACTTGATTGAGTCTGAATCCTAAGCCCGTACCAGTCACCCTGCAGGACACCACCATGTTAAATGTGGTCTGGAAAAATGGTAGACCTCCTTTTCAGCCTTTCCCTTTTTTCCCTAGTGATTTCTCTCAATTGCTAACTCACATAAAGCTCAAAGTTCCTCTTTTTTTTTTTTTTAAAGATTTTATTTATTTATTCATGAGAGACACAGAGAGAGAAAGAGGCTGAGACACAGGTGGAGGGAGAAGCAGGCTCCATGCAGGGAGCCCGACGTGGGACTTGATCCAGGGTCCCCAGGATCACGCCCTGGGCCAAAGGCAGGTGCTAAACTGCTGAGCCACCCAGGGATCCCCCAAGCTCAAAGTTCCTGCAGAAATGAAGACACAATGTAAAATTCCAGCCTCTCATCTGTGTTCAGGGACAGGCCCTAAATAGTGAACATACATTTTCTTTTTCCTTTGGCCTTTATTTATTTCTTTTTTGCTCAGCTTTGTTGAGGTATGACTGACATAGATAGATTGTACATGATTTTTAAAAGGTGTATAACATGATTTAATCCATGTACATATATCCCAGGGAAATGCTCACCACAATCGAGTTAATATATTCATCACCTCACATAGTTATTTTGTGTGTCTGCCTGTGTATGGTGAGAACATTTAAGATCTACTCTCTTAGCAAATCTTGTTCAAGTATATAATACAGTATTATTAACTATAGTCACCATGCTGTACACTAGATCTCCAGAACTTACTTATTTTATAACTGAAAGTTTGTACTCTTTGACCAGTATCTCCCCATTTCCCCCACCCCCAGTCCCTGATAACCATAATTCTACTCTCTGGTTGTATGAATTTGACTTTTTAAGATTCTTTTTTTCTTTTTTAAGGATTTTATTTATTCATGAGAGACACACACACACAGAGACAGAGACAGATGCAGAGACACAGGCTGCCCCGACTTTTTAAGATTCTACACATATGCAAAGTCAGAGGGCATTTGTCTTTCTGTGTTTGGCTTTATTTCATCTACCGTTAGGTCCTCCAAGTTCATCCACATTGTTGCAAATGGCAGAAAGTCCTTCTTTTTACAGTGAAAAATATCTCATTGTGGGGATCCCTGGGTGGCTCAGTGGTTTAGCACCTGCCTTCAGCCCAGGGCGTGATCCTGGAGTCCCAGGATCGAGTCTCACGTCAGGCTCCCTGCATGGAGCCTGCTTCTCCCTCTGCCTGTGTCTCTATTCTCTCTCTCTCTGTCTCTCATGAATAAATAAATAAAAACTTAAAAAAATATCTCGTGCATATATGTACCACATTTACTTCAGTTATTCATTCATCTACACTTACATTGTTGCTATATCTTGGCTGTTTTGAATAATGCTGCAATGAACACGGGAGTGCAGACATCTCTTCAGGATACTTATTTCCTTTGGATATCCAGAAGTGATATTGTTGGATCATAGGGTAGTTCAATTTTTAATTTTCTGAGGAATCTCCATGCTGTCTTCCATAGTGGCTGCACCAATTTACATTCCCACCATTGGTACACGAGAGTTCCCTTTCTTCCACACCCTCACCAACACTTGTTATCTCCTTTTTGATAACAGCTATGCAAACAGCTATGCAAAGGTGTGAAATATTTCATTGTGGTTTTCCTGACTAGTGATGCTGGACACACTTTTCATGTACCTGTTAGCTATTTG